AAGCAATGAAAACTTGCTACCAATTAATTATACCATAATCCATGCTAAATATAAGTCTTGAGGGGGTTGAAGAACAGAACATCAGGAACTATTGCACTTTGTAAACAGAAGCTTCTCTCCATTCATTAAAGAGGTGCTGGCCAGCACATTTCAAAGTTATCCACTTTACTCCTAAAGTTTCCTCACATCTGAAAGGTGTTAAAGCAGCTGGCATCACGCAGCAAGCAATACCCTTCACAAACAAAGCACGTACTATGCACAATTATTCAACTTTCAACATCCAATTGCACTTTACGTTCCATCCCAGTCACTACCTACTTCAGATCAAGACTGGGATGGGAGAGGAAACCAATTAAAGCCCTGGATTATTGTCAAAGGCAGACCATATTACACTAAATACTGATGAAATGTGCGAGTAGCTGCAAGCTGCAGGCACTGGCTATTCACAGGTAAAATGGCGACACCCAGTGGGGACAACACTACATAAAATATCTGCGTTAAAAGAGTGACAGAGACATTATCATCTCCAGGTTTTGGGGTGTTTTGGTTTGGTTTTCTTAAAATAATAGAACTGCTACCTTATTTGGGGATATGTAGATTAGCTTTGGAAAAGAAAGAAAGAGATGCAGCTCAGTTACAGAAACGTCTGCGTTAAAAGAGTGACAGAGACATTATCATCTCCAGGTTTTGGGGTGTTTTGGTTTGGTTTTCTTAAAATAATAGAACTGCTACCTTATTTGGGGATATGTAGATTAGCTTTGGAAAAGAAAGAAAGAGATGCAGCTCAGTTACAGAAACGTTGCATGCAATTGTACTTCTCCAGAACAGCCTGAAGACTTTTTACTTTCCTTTTTCCTTCTATGGCTTAGCCCCAAACATTTTTTATTCTGTTACAACCTCTCCAATGCAAACGCTAACTAGGCATTAACTTCCCATACAGCTTTTAAATGATCTTCCCCTTTAAAATAAGAAATTACACATGTTTCGTTCCACAAATAACGTTGCACGCAACTCTACTTCTCCAGAACACCCTCAAAACATCTTTACTTTCCTTTTTCCTTCTATGGCTTAGCCCCAAACATTTTTTTATTCTGTTACAACTCCCCTTTAAAATAAGAAATTACACATGTTTCGTTCCACAGAGTTGAGGCCAAGTGAGATTGTTTTAGGTTTCAACAGACTACCACTTGAAAAATGAAATTTTGATGTGCTTTACTATCACCAATGTTCTCAGCCGATCAAGTGCTTAGCCCTTGAAAGCTACAAGAAAATTTTACTTCTGGTATTTTCACTAGTTATATTACAATATTATGAAAACCTTTATTACTCCATAAACTTACTGGTCTTTCTGAAGTATCATCAGAAGCGTACATGGTGCAACAGATGGCTAAAACTGTAACTAAAAAATTCACAGGAGCAGAAAGTGGAACTGTTGGACAGCCAATACACAGGCCATGTAACCTAATTGTTTCTTAACGAAACTGTGTTGTATTATTTGTTCTGGGCCCCCAAGAAGCCACAGAGAACAGCAGGTAAGTGCAAACAAGACACCTTCTTTTCTCTCCTCCCCCCATTCCAAAACTAGAGATGCTTTTTTTGGAAGGAATAGGGCTCTGCCCACCTGTACAAATCACCAGAATGTAGGCTGACTCTGCCTTTTCAGCTTTTAATGGGCAACACTGTACTTGCCAAGCTTCAAGCAAGCACCAACTACATCAACCTAATGGTTACATGAAAATGGACCAACATTTTAGCATATAAACTTACACTTCTTTATAGATATTTTTCCCCTTCTCAAAATATAAGGTGTCAACAGCCTGCCCTCCATCATCTCAAATGCAGTTTGGGGCATAACCTTAGTAACTCCTCTGTCCTTTTATGGAACATGTATCTTGTATAGTACCTACAGTTTACTTGGACCAGCGTAAAGGGGATAAAGGCAAAGATGAGTAGTCAAACATAAGCTCACAAAAATAAATTCAAACTTATTTGAATAAGTTTCATCTTGTATTTATTTAGTTTTGACAGTAGGCACAATATACTTTAACTTTCCAAGCTGAGAGAGAGAGACATAAACCCAGTTCTGAAGAATCTACATGAAAAATAAAGTACACAGAAAGACACATAGAATGCAGTTGGAACAACAACAACAAAGTACACGTTCATTTATTTTTTCAAATGGGTAAACCTGTCCCCAGATTCTAGAACTCAAGATAACCAACCTGTCTTCCACAGATTCTGTAGCACAGTTCATATCCCTTCTGGGTAACAGGCCTTTCAGCTGAGTTCATGGCAGGTAAGCAAAGTACCATCCCTGAAGAAACCTCACTTGGGCCACCATGCATACAGAAATCACTCAATTTGAGCCAGAAGTACCCAATGGCTTTAAGTGACAGCCCCTGGATGCACCATCATCACACTGGGACAGCAGAGGTAAGAAGCACCTGACCCTTCAGGAGCACTGGAGAGTCTTCTCTCCCACCTCATTCTCCTAGAGAGGGGAACAAGTTCCCTCCAGACACAAGCAACAAGCTCCCTACCCAACCACCTGGCAAAACTCAAAAGCCACAGAACACTCGCCCGTGACATTGGCTCTTCTAGCCCACAGAGACAAAAACCATCACTTTATCTTTCAGCTACCCCATTGCACTGGAATGGCTGTAAGGATGAGCTAAATTTATACTCAAAACATATGATGCAACACATACTGTAGTATTATAAAAATAATATTGCATTATTAGTGGAAATCTCACACAAGTATACTGATAAAAAAACTGGAAGCAATTTTTTTAAATATGGCACATTATTTCACATCCAATATATGTAAACATCTGACTTCCATAACTGGACAGGAGTTTCTCTGGTTACAGATTATTGCCTCAACTCAAATTTGGAGCAAATATCGCTCTGCACCTTCCTGTATCCCTCAGGACCCTGTCTTCAGAAGTGCAGATGTTCTGAAACTGCTAAATGTCTCCCAAAGCACATTTTAATTCTAAACACATAGGATGCTAAAGAGTCAAAGCATAGCATTTGCTAATCACTTAAAAAAAAGTTTTGTTCTTTATTTTAAAAAGGTAGGTGTCTTTTCAAACTGTGATTTTTTTTTTTTTTTACAAGAACAAGCAGATGACAGCCAAAAACTTTTATTGATCTACAACTGGAAAAAAAAAATCATTAAAACAGATGACATCAAAAAAACCCTACAAGATATCACTTAATTATTGGATAGAAAAACATGCTTAAGCTCCCTTCATGTAATACACGAAGAACAAAAGATGTCAGGGTTTAAGCAAATTTAGCTTTTTCTGGAAAACTTAGATAAAAAATGGTTGATATGAATGACTAATTAAAAAAACTCCCCACATTTGGATGATATGTCCATTTGTTTTCTATCATTCTAGCTCAGCATAAACCCAAACCCCTGAGCATTCACAACCACAAGAACAAAATCCCACACAGGTTAATCCTAAAAGTGCACCAGTAGCACTCCTGCCAAAGCAGAGTATGTTTATTATTCAACATTTACTAGATGTGCTCCTAGGTATGGACAAATACCTTGAGATACCATTATCTCCAAACTAGAAAATAACCATCACCTTACAATTTCCGATTCTCTACAGACTGGAACATGCTATTAATATTCCTGTTTCTGTGTGGTGAGGATCTCTTTATACACCAGCATCACTGGCATGTTATGTACAGCTTGGCACCTTCAAAAGAGACCCAATTCTGCTTCCTTGGACAGATGCAAAGATTTTTATTCCATAAATTCACTTTTCCTGCATTTCTGCAAAAGAAAAACATGGTTAAAACAGGCAGAATGTAGTATTTATTTTAGCTACTAAATTAAAAAATTGCTACTACATGTTGTAAATAGCACTTCATGATGTAAACTTCTGTGAATGCACTATTAACAAATAATCTTTTATTAGCATGAGAAGAAAAAACAAATACAGCAGTTATGATGACATGCATGTTTTAGTCTGTCTGACAGACTGGCAGTTTAAAAGCCAGATATGTATTCTTAAAATGAGTGAAGAGCAACCACTCTACAATGTGTTATTTCAGTATGTGGATTATAGAACTATTTTCTAAGTTGAAAAAAAACCTCACAAATTACCTAGTCAACTGTCTTGCTTTCACGGAGTTCAGTCCATTCCTCAGTGTCAACAAGCATACTTAGAGCTTTATTTGACTGACCACACGATTGTATGAATGTTCTCTTTTATTTAAGAGACTTAAATGAAATATACGAGATCAGTGCATGGAAATTGACTAAAGTTGTTCAACATTGTCAACAGAGAAGACAAAATCACAGTGAAGTGAAACAGCAAGAAGACTGGAAAAGCTGTGATAAAACTTTTTGCTGGTTTTTTTTTTTTTTTTGTTTGGTTTGGTTTTGATTTTTGTTGGGTTTTTTTTCCAGCAATTCTGACTGTAAAATCTACCGGCCTGAAACCTCCACCATGACATCTCAGCTTTCTGAAATCAAGCAACAAACCACACGTTAACGCACAAGTAGGAAACTCCGAGTTCTTTACTTCTGGGGAAAAGAAAGAAAACAAAACATCAGGCAGAAGGGGTGCCTCAAGCAAAAATAAGTATATAAATAAATAAAATAACGAAACCGCTCCAGGAACTTTTACCAACCTAGCAGACCAGCCTCCTCCTGCACTCCCTCTCCCCCGTCACACGGGTAAAACACAAGGTTTTTGCTATCGAGCGCTCACGCCATGTCGCGACAGCCTCTCTCAGGCCTCCCCCCCCCGGCTCAGGGGGCGGCCGGGGCCGTCCTCACCGACACCCGTCCGGGATGCGGGGACACGGCCCCCGGCCCGGGCGAGGCCCCGGGGAAGAGGCGGCGCTGCCGGGGCCACCAGCGATCCCTCAGGGAGGGGGAGCTCCCACCTGCCCTCCCGGGACCTGACCGAGGGCCAGCCGGGGCCCACCCGCTCCCACCGGCCGTACCGCGGCCCACCCCGGCGCCCCTCCGTTACCTTCCCAGAGGAAGTCACCGCCCCGCCGGAGGAGGAACTTGTACCAGAAAGGGCTGGAGGCCTCCTCGTCCGGCAGCACCGCCTCCGCCAGCCACAGCGCCGGCTCCTGGGCCGGCAGCGGGGCGGTCGGCCGCGCCGGCTTCATGGGCAGGGCGCGCTGCGGGTCCCACTGGCCCAGCTCCGGGCGGGAGCCGGCCAGCAGGAGCGCCCCGCTGCCCTCCGTCATGCGGGCCGGCAGCACCACGCCGAAACGGAACAGCATGGCGGGCGGCGGCCTCCTCCTCCGGAGGGGAAAAGCCTTCTCCTTTGGGCCGTTCCGCCTGGGCCGCACTTCCGGAGGGGCGCGGGAGGCCGGGCCCGGCTCCCCCCGCCGCTGAGGTGGCGATAGCGGGGCGGGCAGCTGGGGGGGCGACGGACTTCCAAAATAGCGGTTGGGAATTAAAACAATGGCACCTGCCCCGCCTGGGATCCGGCAATTAGGGCTGGAACGGGGAGGTCTCTCTGCAGGTGTCCGCGTTGTGAGGGCCCGAACGTTAACGTGTGGTGACTGTCACAAGTGAGGGTCATTACTTCATTAAACAAAGGCACTGCAGTTACTCCTGAGAGCCCAGCCTTAATTTAGTGCAGCACAGACATAATGCAGCACGTGTGGTGGTTGGAACAAGGGTTAGCCTCAGATCAACACCCAAGTGTCCACAAGGCTCAGCCCTCCACAGCCAGCCCTGGCGACTCCAGAGATGTGGAATATTGAGGGAGCTTGAAAGGCTTTTTTTAAAAAATGAGTAGCTCCCAACGGCGTGCAATTCCGTTCTGCCCTTCTGGCTGGGATTTGGCAACTCCTGTACATATCAATATTCAGGGCTAGCAAAGAATGACTGAGAAAGAGGATGCGATCCAGGCATTCATAGGGCAGCCCTTGTCTGAAGACACCCATTTCAGAAACGTTTAAGGACGGAAACAGAGGGGTGGTGATTTTATTTAGGTCAAGTTCTGGGAACAGGATGAAGGCCTTTCAGTGAGTCAAAAGAAATCCTGCCTGGGAAGATGGCTGCTTGTTTCCTGCGGTGGGGGCTGATGATGCACTGAAGCGTGTGTACTGCCAAAATTTATTTTTAAAAGTGCTTTAGCTCATTTTCGCTGATCCTCCTTGAACTTGTGAAAGCGATAGGCCGCCACTGTGCCAGACATAACCAAAGCTAAGAGAATTCTGGCTGTCCTCCATGCATTTTGGCTGGCAACAGCCCTCGCTCTGGCACTGCTGCTTTTGTGGAACACGGCATGACATTTTAATCTTTGCTTTTGCTCAACTTTACCCATAACCTATCTCGTAACTGCCTTTCAAATATCTACCCCTTTACCATACACCTTTGTTTTAGTATTTTGGCCAATACACAATGTAACAATGAACTTTGGGATTTTATTCCAAAGTTCAAGCTTGACAGTAGCCCTAAAAGCACTACTTAAAACCATATGTCTGCTTAAAGTCATGTGTCTACTTAAAACCATATGCTTCTGCTCATTTCAGTCACAGTCCCAGTTTAAGAAATTGCAGGATCCAACAATACATCTGGTGGATAGTTTAATTCCTGGCTGTTGTCTAAGCCTCAATGTAAAGACATCTTTAGACAAACCTTAGCTTCTTTTTCCTTGTAAGTACCAAGTCCTCACGTTAGGCCTGTAAACTGTGTGGAACAATAGAAAAATTTAGCCACATACTAGCTTTAAAAATAATTCAGTCAATTCCTTCTCTAGGCTCTGCCTTAATCCATTTTGTGTCTGCCAATACTGGGTGTTAGATTAAGGTTAAAGATGACAGAAAGTGACAAGCTTGACTTCCTGCTCTTTCCTCAAAAAAACTAGTTCAGATTAGGGTTACCATTGAGAGATCAAACAAGAAAGGCTGAAAAACTGGATTTATTGTTGGATTCTATAAGAGAGGGATAAAAACGAGAACTGGAGACTGGCCTGGGGATAGTGGGAATAGAAGAACAATTTCTATTGATGAATACTACCATGTTGTGGACTGAGTGAGGGCTGCAGACAGGCTAAAATGGATTATCATTAGATCTGAGACTGGTGAGCCATAGGTGCCATAAGGTTTGGGTATAAGCTAAGATACAAAGGCAAATGTGTGTTTTTTCCATTGCTAGATTTGCACAGCCTATGGGTTTGTCATCTCTAAACTGGAGTTTTAGCAGAGTAAAGGTGAGGAGGGGGGGGATGTAACAGTAACATTTACTGTTATTGCTTGGGATTGCAGGAATTGAAGCACTTCCACTGTTGGGCCATTGCCATAACCCTAAATTTAGTTTTAAATGTCACCCTAAGCCTCCTCAGGAATTAACAATGAACTAGTTTCCTCTGTCAAAATGATCCCTTATTCAAGTACTGCCTGACCAGTGCTCTTACCCTGCAGTCCTCAACACTATTTTCAAACCTAAATGCCTTCCTTAAAATCCAATCATCTTTTACAGCTACAAAACTAAACATGATTTTTCCCTCTTTTTTTCCCTGTATTAAGTCCTTATTCCAATTTGGCAAGCCTCACAGGTCCCATGAAAAAGCTTTGGCATAAAGGGGCCAAAACCCTAATAATCAAGTTGCTTTTAACTGTCTCAGAGACATTCCTGTGGGAAGAAACTACCATCTCAGTGGTCTGTCTGAATTATAATAATAAACGTTGTGCCTTTTTGTCCTTAACAGCTGTTTAGGATCTAGCAATATGCTTATCTACAACATTGACTGTGAGTGGAAGCCTCAATCTACCCCAAGTCTAAGCAACAACACAGTGATGCTTAGTGCCAAATGTATTACTTACAACATCAACTGTGAGTGGAAGACTCGATCTATCCCAAATCTAAGCAGCAACACAGTGATGCTTAGTGCCAAATGTATTTTAAAGCCTTCAGTTTCTTGTCACTGGTACCATCCCAGGTGTTTGTCAGCACTGACTGCATTTCTAACTGACTAAATGGGGAGAATTGTATGAAAAAGACGGATTTTTCCACACCTTGAGTATCCAAGAAGGGGCTCTAAAGATTGCAATCTTTGCAAGAATCAATTGGTTCGTGGGATTTCTCCCGAATTGTACTGATAGGTCTAGCCTTATGTAATTTCCAGCTAATTAGCCTTTATGTCTGGATTATTATGCAAAATTTGTGCAGGTGGTGGAGATTTCACAGGAGGAGTCACTGAGGCTGTGTACCAGCTTAACAGTTGTATCTTCAGTTTCTGCCTAATTGCTGTAGATAAAAGGGTTCTAAGGAAAAGTTTGAAATTGGAGCTGTGATTGTATTTACGAACATGTAAAACATGTTTAAAGGTATTTTCTGTGTCCAGAAATTGGAGCTGTGATTGTATTTACGTACATGTAAAACATGTTTAAAGGTATTTTCTGTTGCTGTGCAATAAACTTTTGCAGAGTCACAAATCTAAATTTCTACATAGAAATGCTAATGCTGAAGAGTGTGTGTTCATACAAATCCCATTGCTCTGGATGATTAACCAGTCAGGAAATATAAGTTTGTGGTTTTCTTATGCTACACAAGTCCCTCTAATTTCTTATACTGTCTCTTCCTGGCATAAAATTGTTCTGGTATTTTTTTGAACTCAGAGTTTTGAAGCATTTGTTACATTCAGGAAATTTGGACAAAGTCTGAAATCAGAATAAAGACACTAATCAAATGTTGCTGTGCAATAAACTTTTGCAGAGTCACAAATCTAAATTTCTACATAGAAATGCTAATGCTGAAGAGTGTGTGTTCATACAAATCCCATTGCTCTGGATGATTAACCAGTCAGGAAATATAAGTTTGTGGTTTTCTTATGCTACACAAGTCCCTCTAATTTCTTATACTGTCTCTTCCTGGCATAAAATTGTTCTGGTATTTTTTTGAACTCAGAGTTTTGAAGCATTTGTTACATTCAGGAAATTTGGACAAAGTCTGAAATCAGAATAAAGACACTAATCAAAAAGTTTGACAGTATACAGCAGTCAAAAAATCCATTTTCCAAGTAGAAGGACGTATTTTCCTTCACAATTTTCTTATTTGAAAAGTGTCTGCTTGGACAAAGTATTACTGTCTGAAATCAGAATAAAGACACTAATCAAAAAGTTTGACAGTATACAGCAGTCAAAAAATCCATTTTCCAAGTAGAAGGACGTATTTTCCTTCACAATTTTCTTATTTGAAAAGTGTCTGCTAGGTACAGAAATAGCACACAGCTATCTGAACAACATGAGCACTACTGAAATGACAGATTAACTTAATACTTCCGCGCTGGGGTAGCCTGTGTCTGTAGCGTACGTGTGTTTTACTGATTACAAACTTTTACACCACAGGCCAGTCTGCTGCTTGGCACAGCTTCATCTGTTGTTGCTGTACAGTGATCTCAAACGATAATATCTCCAAGTAGGGAAATCTGTAGTGAAGAACAGCGTTTGAAAAACAAAAACAAAACGCAAGTACTGAAAGGATCTGGTTGGAGAAGGGAGCGGGGGGTGGCTGTGTGTCCCCGATTGCAAGTTGTGGGTGATGTTTAGATTAGCTCTGCTCCTTCCTAGACTAGCCTTCCTTCCCTTTTTAGGTCATTTTCTTTCTTGTAAAGATAGGGAGAAAGTGTTGTTGCAATTTCCAAATGCTTGTGCTAATTATAGAAAAGAGAAAGGCAGCACACTGTACAGTCCCGCTTGTAAAAGGGAAAACATTTATATTATATGGTAAGCTGATTTAGATGTATTAGTGATTGGGGTAAAATGTTCATTGCTGAAAAATTCAGACAGTCTGTGTTTCTTCAGAGACATTGAACTAAATATAAAAATAACTAGTCTAATGTGAAGAATTTAAGACCACTGTTTAAGTGAAAGTTGATTCTGTTGATTAATAATCTAATCAGTGATCTGTGAATCCAAGGCTTCTAATTGAAGTCTAAGTGTCCTTCTTGTGACAACTCTTACAGAAGTATGAACTAATACTTTCACCGTTTGTTCTAATTTGACAGTACAGCAGCAAAGAAAAGAAAAACTGATATTTTACCCTTACAGTCTGAAGACTGAAGAAAGACTAAGCAATTTAAGAACCTATTACCAGATAAGCACTGCTATTATCAATTTTTTAGTTTTGGGTGCTGTGTCAGAGCAGTGGAAACTGCATTAACTGTTTTAGCTGCTAAGTGCTAGTAGCAGCCTTTTATGCAGACTCAGCTACAGAAGTTCTGGCATGACTGACCATTTTAGGAATTGTGTTGGAGAATTATGCTGTAATAATAGGTAGGACACTACAGGAGATTATTTTCACTTTTGCAGGGGCTT